GCGGTAGGCGAGCTTGAACCTCTTGCCGAGCACCGTACCGGGGCCCTCCTCGGCGCTGTGCAGGTTGTACAGCAGCGACCGCCGCATCATGGGCGTGGGGCGGCTAAAGTCGTAGTTCTCGAAGCCGAAGTGGGAGCACAGCGGGTCGTTCTCGGGGCAGATGTCGCGGTACACGCTGTTGCCGATGCGTGCCATGTGCGGCGACTTCATCAAGTCCTCGGCCTCGCTGCCGCTCCAGATCAGCACGTAGTCGGCAAGGTGGCGTATCAGCGCGTGGGCCTCCGCCACCGGCGACGTCAGCAGCTTCCCAATGGTGGCGATGTGCTCGTGGTTCCACGTGTTGCCGTCGGCGAGGCTGGTGCGGTTCCCGATCCCAGTGATCTGGTAGCCGTAGTCCCACCACGCCAGAACGCGGGCGTCCGCCGGGGTGCTGTTGCGCAGCCACAGATACGACACGTAGTAGTCGTCCACCAAGGTCGTTTGGTCGTGCTGGTTCTGCGTGTACCACATGAGGCGTGGGTTGGCGAAGGCGTACGCCATCTGCCGTGACGACGTGTTAAACGACTCCCCCAGCGGGTTGAGGAGAACCGTGGCAAACACCAGCACCGCGACCCCGAGGCGGATGCCGCAGGGCCACGCGGCTGTGCACTTCTGCAGCACTTGCAGCGGGGTCAACGCCGCGTCGTTGGACGTCGACACTGTCGTTGCCGTCTTGCCGCCACGTGGGGAGTGTTTTTTGCCAGCCACCGCCGGCTTCGGCGTCGCCTCCGCCTCCCAGAAGAGCAGCTTCGCCGCCCAGTCGCATATCCCGCCAAGGAAGATGCCAGAGTAGGCGGCCGCCACGGGCCCGGAGAGCAGCAGCAGCCGGGACATGCGACAGCTGAAATAAAACGCCGCAATGGAGTAGAGAAGCAGAAAGGTGGTGGCCCGCCCGCGTTGCAGTTCCCTAAAGGTGAGGTGAACAAAAGTTCCAAGCGCCCACAGCGGCAGGCAGATGTGCAGGAGGCGCCACAGCGCATCCCCGCTAGCGGGGCGGTGCTCGGCGACGGAGTCCACGAGAGGGTTGCCGGTGCGGGTGTGCTGCACAAAGAGGGCGCGGACGCGGGAGGAGAGGGGGCCGAAGTACCCCTGCGGGGCCAGCAGCGCCGCGAACAGGAAAAGCGCGGCGCAGGTGGCCATAAACGCGCGCGCGCGGATCTGCAGCGCCCTGGAGGAGCGTATCGGCACGTCGGCGCGCCTCCGCAGGACCTCGGAGAAGTGCAGCGCCCACATGAAAATAAACACCAGCAGCGCCAGCAGCTGCTCCAAGGAGCTGAACGGGGTCCACCCCACCGGCGGCACGCGCGTCGCGATCGCCGTGCCGACCACAAAGAACAGGGAGTACGCCCGCAGCAGGTTGCCGTCATACCTGTTATGCAGCCAGTCGGTAAGCACGCACACGGCGGCGTGCAGCGCCACCATGTTGAGGACAAATATGAAACCGCCCCAGGTGGACACCATGTAGCCGTACGCCAGCCCCGTCAGCACACCAATGGGCCAGGAGCCGGGGCCACGCAGCGAGCGCACCCACAGGTAGAACGTGAGTAGCATCGCCGCCATCGCAATGCACTCATTGTCGTATTCGCCCGCCATGGAGCGCATCAGGTGGGCGGGGACGATGGCAAAGAGATTTGCCGTAAACATCATCACAGTTAACGAGGGCGAGGCCTCATACGCCAGAAGCGCACAAAGAAGCGTCGAAATTCCCCCGAACCATGCGGGGATGTAAACGCACACGTCGTTCATTGTCATGTTCACCCCCAGCATGGCGAGGCCCCTGCGGATGGCGACGCTCGTGAGCTGCAGCCCGGGGTAGATGGTCGTGCCGACGGGGCGACCAAGCGGGTACCAGCTCATGTAGTCGTACCAGTGGAAGAAGGCGTACCACCCGTGCTCGTCAAGGTACTGCGACGCACGGAAGTTGAACCAGGGGTCAAACTCGTGAATCACCTTGCCGTACAGCTTAATGGAAAGCAAGCGAATGGTGTAGGCACGGTAGATGGCAAATATCACGCAGAGTGCGGCGAGCATGCCGAATGCATTTTTTGCTGCGTGGTATTGAAATGGATATTTCCCGAGCAGCTTCAGCGCCGGGGCAGCCATCCTTCACTGCGTGGAGTAAGGCGCAAGGAAGTATGTACTGCCTTTGTCTATTTCTCGCGTGGCCGTGTATAGTGCTCTCGTGATTTTCGTCTTTAATCGCCCAAGTATGTCTTTCTACGGTTTTTTTTTCTAAAGCCTTTGTGCTTCCCAGAGGAGCTGAGTTTTCCAGTCGTTCCTTTTTTTTTCTTCTTTATTTCTCTTGCAGCTTCTGCGCCGCGGCGCCGCCTATAAGTTACTTCCTGTGCGCCTGCCTCGGGCGCGTGCCGCCCCCTTCGTGCCGCCAAAACTGATCCCCCCCCGGTTTTCTACCCACCCGTTTCGCTTGCGACCTCCCGCGGCGGCCCGCAACTGCCGTCCCACCCTCCAACGAAGAGTTATCTACAAATATATATATATATATATATATGTGTGTGTGTGTGCGTTTGCGTGTGTTTTTCCTTCTCAGGGGAGGAGAGGCGGTGAGGGAGAAGGCACGGGGGCTTCATCCCCAGCGGCAGCAGCAACAAACCCTGCAGGAATAAACAAAGAAACAAGCAAAGATAAAAAGGAGAGCCCCACGCCGCCCCCGCGCAAAGGGGGGTGGTGGGGGAACGCCACGGTCCCCGGTGCCGGTCGCCTAGTGCCTGGGTGGTGCAGCACGCACGCGCGCGCGGTCCCTTCAGCCGCCCGATACATCTGCGGGGGCGCGTGCAGGGGGCGCAAGACCGGCGCCTACACGCGCCCACTTCGCAGCGCAAGAGGAAGAGAGAACCCCCCCCCACCCAACAAACGAAAAGAAAAAGAGAAAGCAAGCGGAGGTGTACACAACGGAAATATCCAGCGGCAGGGTGCAAGGAGGTGGCGTAAGAGCCACCCCCAGCAGCACAAGTTGGAGCATGCAGGGCGCCGCACTTTCTTCGTCCGCTCAACCCCCCATTATATATATTATCTTTCTCTTTCTCACTCTCACTCTTTCTCTCCCTCTATCCCTAAGTTGTTTTACCTTCCTTTTCTCCTCTTCGTCATTGCACGTTTCCTTTTTCTACGCCGTTTGATCCTTTTTTTTTCTCCCCCTCCCCATTGGAGTTCATCTTTTCCCTCCTGCTTGTCTTTAGTAGAACACACACACACACACACACACACAGAGGCCTCTTCTTCATTCTTCCGTGCACACAGGCATTTAATGTATGTATGCTTGCCTGCAACTAAAAATAAGTGCGTCTAACTGTACGTATATGGGGGTTATCAGTGCATATGCACGTGTGCACACCACACACACTTAGACTCTGTCATGGCGTTTTTTTTCTTCTTCTTTTTTAAAAGAAACTCATCGCCCTTCAAAAAAAAAACACACGCCACGCAACCGCGTCACTTCGCACGCTGCCGGTGCCGCTTCCCGAGTTGTTGTTGTTGCTGCTGCAGCACGGAGGAAAGCGAGCGCAGGCGCGTGGCCGCGGCGTGCGCTGAGGGGCGGGACGAACACAGATTCAGAGACGGGGCACCCGCAGGGGAGTGTTTCTCCGCCGCCTCGTCATGGACACAAAACACAAAATGCAAAAAAAAAACCGCAACAGAGCCTCACATCATACACCGCAATCACCATGCACAGACACAGGCTGCATACGCACAAACGTACATACATGTAACTAAAAAAGAGAAGTAAACAGATGCATATCGCTGAGGGGGTAGAAGAGGGGGAGCGGGGGGGAAAAAAAACGTGTTATTTCAAGTGAGGCCCCACCCCACAGTCAGCCGCCGCCTTAACAGCGGTCATGCGGGGTCAGTAACGACAGGCACCCTCCTAAGGTGAGGCGTGAGAGGTCGTATGCATCTGCCACCCGCCGTGACGCTGGCACACGCACGCGCAGTCCCGCTCCGTGCCCCGCCGGTTTTTTTATTTTTCCTTTTCTCTGTTTACAGTTTCGCAGCAGCCCGCTTTCTTTCCTCCCCCGCACTTGGGCCTGTTTTATCGCAGACCTGCTGCTTCATCCTCTGCGAGCGCACACGCGTTCCGTTGCGTGTTTTTCCCTCCCTCTCTCTCTGTGCGTGTGTGCGTCTGTGCGTCTGTGCGTTCGAGCGGGGTTGCGCCGGCCGTCCCGCTCCCCTCCTCACACACGCCTACGCCGGCGCGTCGGCCAGCGCCTTGAGCACCAGGCCCGCCAGCTCGGCGGCATGCAACAGTCGCCCCTCCTGCAGCTTCGAAAAGAGGAGTTTGTCGTCTAGGAAGATCTCAAACGCGCCGGACTGGAGGAGCTTCGCGCCAATGAGGTTCGCCACAAAGCCGCCGCCGATGACCTTCGCGCGGTTCTCCCCCACCCACGCCGAGACGTGGGGCGGGAGGACACCCGCCAGGAGCGGTGCGCCGAGGCCGACGACGAGGGCGGCGACGAACGTCAGTGAGAGCAGCGAGGCGAGCGCCTCCCGCAGCGGGCCCACGGGGTGGACGGAGGGAGCAAACGTGACGCTGGGCCCCCCCTTCTCGGTCGGCGGCAGGCTACGGGCGATGTGGTGTGCCATCTCCTCGTAGTGCCGCCGGTAGCCTCAGCCGGAGCAGTACTCCACCCGCAGCACGTGCTGCCGCCGCGCCGCCCCCGCCCCGCGCTGCCGCCGCAGCCTCTCCGCCAGCGCCTCCCGCTTCTGCAGCTCCACGATGGCGTCGATGAGCTCCTGCTTGGTGCGCAGGTGCTGGAACGGCTGCTGCTTCTCGTGCAGCATCTGCCGCAGGTCGCCCACCTCGAGCATCTCAAGGTGCCCGAAGGACGACGCATCCCCGTCGGCGTCTCCGTCGGCGTCTGCGGCGGCGCCGCCAGCAACGGGCGTCAGCATCGCCGCCGCCAGCAACGCCAGTAGTAGCAAGGCCAAGGCGCGTGGGCGGCTCATTGCCTGCCGCCGCGCCGCCAAACTGCCCCCCTCTCCACTTCCGTGACCGCCGCCTCCTGCCTCGCCAGAAGCCTTGTTTGTTTGTTTTTTTTGTTTTAGCCGCTTGTCTCTGGCGGCGGCGAAGGACGAGGCACACACGCACACACACACAAAAAGGGCCTCCCCGCTGTTCCTACGCGCACGGCGGGGATCCCACGCACCTGCTTTCCTCGCAGGCGCGCAAAAAAAAAAATGTAATAATCCTAAACCCCCCCCCCAAGAAAAACAAAAAACAAAAAACAAACAAACGTCACCAGGAGACGGCGAGAGGAGATTGAGAAGGGAGAAAAAAAAGAAAAGAAGTTCTTGCAGGCGACATCACACACGCACACAAAGAAAGAAGGCAAAGGAAAGAAAGAGACGCAAATCTTCAAAAAAAAAAGGCGCCCCTTTTGCCTACACGCATATTTGGCTCTGCTTCCTTCATGACAGGGAGTGAGGGCCAGCATGGGGAGGGAAAGCCGCCACCACCACACCCCCCCCCTTNTCTCGACATAAATCTATTGTAG